CCTCTTTTCAACAGTCATATTTCTGTGCCGCTTGCTGTTGTGATCAGTGAGATAATGGCCGAAATTTTGAACTCATGGTTTTTACCATGTCCAAATTTGGCAATTTTTCACAATCTTCTTTTTTGACTTTTGGAAAAGCTTTGATAGCAGTTAGATAGAGTAAACAAAGTGCATTTTAATGCAATTTTTTAGCAATTTCAACTGGCTTCTCAGTATTTTTTGAGATAATTTTTCCAGAAGTCTTCACTTTTTCGAAGTCACAAAAAACAAAAACGCTCCGAACATTAACAAATCTTCAGATTTCGACACTTTCAAAATTCGTTTATGATTGTCCACTATTTTTACAAAGTAACTCAGTGTTTACGCTTCGAAATATAAGATTTCGCTTTTCGCGTGTACACCCTCAGGCGGGTTCAAAATCAAGAATTGTGGAACTTTTATCGTCAAAAACTCCCACAAATTGGGAAGAAAAATACTTGATAGAAAGAGAAGGAAAAGCTGCATCGAATGACACCTTAGTTGTGCGCTTTTTTATGTTATATGATTCTTGGCATCACCAAAAGTGGAATTTGATAGCATCAGAAAAATAATTATAAAGAATTTTTAAGGCCAGATACAGGCGCCGAAAAATTGCACTAAATCGCACTTTGTTTGCTTTATCTGACTGCTGTCAAAGCTTCTTCAAAAGTCAAAAACGAAGATCGTGAAAAATTGCTAAATTTGAACATGGTAAAAATCTCGGGTTCCAAATTTCGGACATTATCTCACTGATCACAACAGCAAGCGGCACGCGAATATAACAGTTGAAAAGAGGAAGAAAAGCTGCGTCGGATAGTGCCTGAAGCGTTTCCCTACCTTCATTCCTCGTGTTTTTATGATAGGTTGAAGAAACGGAAAGAACTTTCGGAACGACCTAATATTTTCACTGCACCCAGTGATTAGTAGATAAATTAACAAAATAGTTGGAACTCACACACTCGCTTTCATTCGTTGTTGGGTGACTCCTTCCAGACGGTTGAATGTTAGATGGGGGGGGGGGGGAAGGAGGGGATCAAAAATTATTTTCCATAAGGTGATTGATTAGGATAAAATTTAGTTTTGGAATTTGAATAATAAAATCTTCCCGGGACTTCCATGTCAGGATAAAGGTTCATGACGTCTTTACCTGATGTGTAGCGGGTTTACATAAGTCTTACTCTAATATTTATTATATAAGATATATACAAAAGAGGAAGGGGAAATGGGGAGAGGGCACCGGCTCCTGCCGGCGGGCGGAGGTCACTGTCCGAGGTTCGTTGTCTTAGGCCAACCTCCATCGCGAGCAGTTGTTGGGTCATAGCTGCGTCCCGGCACATGCTCTTCAATGTGTATTTCAAAATCAGCGCATCCAACTACCCCAGGTAAGCTAAAAAATTTTAGGTCGAGGATTTGCCGAGCCACTGCCTTTAAGGCAGAGGTGCGATAGTGGGAGCCGATTCTCCCCCTACCTTCACTTTTGAGCTGGTCAGGGTGACCACCTTCACATTTGGAATGGAATTTTTTTTTCGCTGAACGATAAAGAAGGAAAATAAGCAAAACAAACGCAAAAAAGATTATCGAAAGCATATTTTTATGTGTACGCGGCATATATTTTTAAAATAAACGTGTTTCGTAAATGGTGTGTTTGAAAGTAAAAGTTAGCGGGACTGTACGATTTTATTAACTAAATTTTGTCATAATGTACTGCGAAGAAAGTAGGTGGATTTAGGGAATAACCGCTGAGAACCAGAATTTTGAATAATAAAGTAACGAAAAATAATGCGAAATTTCCATTGTTATAGATCTGGTGTTTGAAGATGTCAGAAATTGCGACTTCATAGGTTTTGAAGAGTATGCTCTATTAGATAGTGAAAGAATCGAGTCGATTTGAGAGATAATCGCCGAAAACCAGAATTCTAAAAAATTAAGCCATTTTAGCGTGTTTAGTGACATCTGACAGTTAGACTCATGTGATGCTGCGACTTCATAGGTTTTGTAGAGTAAGGTCTGCCTTATCAGAATATATCTTAGCCGTGCCGATCCATGCAGCGCCGAGGTTCATCAGGGTCTTGAAAAAGCAGGTAAAAAAGCGCTTTTTGAACTTTAACAACTCATAACTTCTTCAGAACTGCATAAATCATGTTGCGACTTCATAGGTTAGATTCTTCTGTTTAAGAGCTTTCAGATGATATATATTGTATGCGGGTTTAAGGCCCCTTACGACTTATGCCCGGGAGGGGAGACTTTGTGATGAAAAGTCTCCCCTCCCGGGCATAAGTCGTAAGGGGGGGGGGGGTTGGCTTAAACCCCCACATATTATATATCATCTGAAAGCTCTTAATGAGAAGAATCTAACCTATGAAGTCGCAACATGATTCACGCAGTTCTGAAGAAGTTATGAGCTGTTGGATTTTTAAAAAGCGCTTTTCTACTTGCTTTTCAAGACCCTGGATCTCGGCGCTGTTTCAATGGACGGTACGGCTAATATATTCTGATAGAGCAGACCTTACTTTACAAAACCTATGAAGTCGTAACATCACACACTTTCACATTCAAGATTTATATGAGCTTAACTGTCAGCTGCACTAAACACGCCAAAACGGCTTAATTTTTCAAAATTCTGGTTTTCGGCGACTATCTCTCAAATCGGCTCGATTCTTTCACTGTCTAATAAAGTACCACTTACTCTTCAAAACCTATGAGGTCGCAATGGCTGACGTCTTCATACATCAGATTATAATAGTGGAAATTTTGCATGATTTTTCACTATTTAATTATTCAAAATTCTGGTTCTTGGCGTTACTCCCTGGATCGGTCTACTTTTTTCGCTGTACGTTGTAACAAAATTCACCTAATAAATGAAAATTGGAAAATGAAGAACTCCTTGTGAAAGTAGGATATGACTCCAGATCCAATTAAAAGAAGCTAGTTCTCTCCTTTTTAACATTATAAAATTTGACGATAGCGCAGTTATTGGATGGTTGCAGCAGACTGCAGCTGATCGCACTGACTCAACGGCCACACAATCGCTGCATCTTTTCGTAAAAGAGAAAATAGTTGCGAATACATCAAAGCACCGTGATTTACGCCTAGAAAGTTCATAGGTTCTAACTTACTCCTCTCAATCAAATTTTGGCGATTGTTTCTTCAATATGCTCATATTTGTTCAGATTCCTTTTGTCATTGCATATACCTATTTTACTCCCGCTCATGTTGTCTATTGGGGCGTATATTGTTAAGAGACCGTTTGAACTACAATTATTTATCTTCTCCACCTTCACAAAAGGATGTAGCGATCTGTGCGGCCCCGCGGTCAATGCGGTCAGCTGCAGTCTGCTGCAGTCTGCTGCGGTCAGTGCGGCAGTCTGAAACAACCCTTAGGAAGCTAGTTCCTATTTTGTCTGGTATTTTTGAAGAGTTTCCGTAGCCAGTAACCAAAGTTTTCTTTGCCTTTCTAGTGAGAGCTGGGAATCCGCTGTTTACTGTCGAACAGATTTCCTGCTTAATATGGTGTCCCTGCAGACGCGTCAACTGCTCCCTGCTAGCGCGTCAATAGTTGCCATTGCGAGTCTCCCAAAGGTGTTTTCTACAGTTTTCTCTGCTTATTCTTAGCATTATAGGCAAGTCGCTGCTGATAAAGGAGAAAAAGGTAGGTTAGAGAGTGGTATCTGTTTTCTAAATGCCTAGATCGTCGACTACTCTCAAGTTTCTACGTAGAGCACGTCGCCTCAGTTTCACATGCACCTTTTGTCATTTCTTTTTCTTCCTTCACTTCTTGCCTCTTTCGAAGCATTTCTTTCGATAGTAGTCTTGCGCTGCAGCAACTTCGGCTTTCATCCAAGAAGAAATAACGTTTAATCGAGTAGTATGTGTGATAAAGACAATAAGTTCAACGTAAAAGTTTACTAGTGTTCAAAGAAATGCTTCACAAGAAGAAAGAGGCATGAAGTGACGAAAAATACACATGAATGATGCGACGTAGCTTCCTCTAGATACCTGAGAATAAGCGATGATATAACTGTACAGGGAACAAAAGCTACTCTTCAACTTCCCTTATCTACCCTTTTCTCCTTTACCAGCGAAGGCTCGCCTAAAAAGCAAAGAATGAGGAAAGAGAACACTGAGGCCAGTATGCACGTACATCTACACGTACATCTCCGCTAGGGAGGGGATCTGAGAGGGATGCGATATCTCGCGCTCTAGGTATCTTTCTTCTTCCTTCCTTCTTGCTTATGAAGGTTCTCACTTATACCTGCGCTAGTGGGTGGCAGGTTACTTCCATGCAACACTGGTTTTTTGCCATTTTGTGTGATCCCCCCCCCCCCAGGGGATTCCCGGGTGATCCCAGGGGGATCACCCATTTTCAAAGTGATATGTTCTCCCGAGAAGTCAATGAAGTACTGAGGATATACTACGGCAGTGCTAAGCTCAATAGGAGAAATGGAATCTGAAAATAGTGAATATTTCGATGATCCCTGGCTCGCGAGCTAGGGAAAACCGAAGATTTCGATATCCTGAAATTTCACTTATTTCTACCATAAACATCATTTCTACCATAAACATCTTTAGCAGTGCCGTACTATATTCACAGTACAATTTCACAGCGTTTTCTTTGAGTTTTCAGGAAGATAAATGGCATTGAAATTGAGAGGTGATCCCCTGGGGATCCCCTGGGGAAAATAGTGAAAATCTAGTCAATTATGTTAGTAACCTGGCATCAGTTATGCGCAGGTATTTAGGGTATGAGAACCTTCATGCAAGATAGAGAAGGAAGAAGCAAGATACCTAGAGTAGCGAGATATAACGCATTCCCTCTCAGACCCCCTCCCCTACCCAGCGGACTGTACGTGCATACGGGCCTAAAAAACATCCGCAGAAGGAAATCTACTCGACTGTACGATCAAGGCAAAGGGTTTGCACAACTTCTCGAAAACAAGCATGCTTCTATATATCTTTGAAATACATTTTTTTCTCTGTTTCAGGATGAGAAAATTGATTGTCTCTTGCGAACGTTAACTGCTATGTATACACGCTTGCCAGTGTCGTCCATGTGGCAAAACGCTCCTCCACATCTACTCGTTTACGCTAGGAAAACTATTGAACGTGTAATAATGGCTCAAATTCATGCTCTGGCCTTCTATCCCAATCTAGATGCCGATAGACATCGTGATGAGTGAGTTCACTATACTGTTCGTATCTGCTTTGATTTTCCCAACACGATCATATGTGCGGCGTACGCGGCCGCCAACGCTATATAGGCTGAATGCGATTGTCCAATCGAACCGAAGAGAAATCGGCGTGGAGTGCGTAAAATTTGGTGCCGCCAACTCTTATGGACTCATGCAACGATCATATCAAAATTAGATTTTGTAGCTTGTTATCGTAGTTGAAATCGCCTTTTGATCAGTGCATTTTGATTTGAGAATTTCTTGTTCGCGCCCTGGCCAATCCAGTGAACCGCTTCGATCTAAATTCGAATTAGATCCCGAATAAGTGTAGACATAGCCTTTGAGGCACTTGTGCTCACGTGGCGGTGCTCTCATGATTTCTTATGTGTTCGTAGCTACCGCTATCGCGCAAGAGGATCGCTGGTCTTTTCAAACATTTGAGTTCTGCCATAAGCTCCCTAAATCATACACCTCTTTTTAAGCTTGTTCTCAAAGTCGTTAGCACGACTTGCTCGATCCACGCATCCCGATCATCCCATGCTGAAAATCCCAACTGTGAGTGAAGTTCAAGTCAAAGCTTTGTGTTCAAATTTAAGATCCAGGTACTCCATGGTGAAGCTCCATGGTCTTCAGCACAAGCAGAAATCAGTGTAATCAATGCCTACAAGTCTGCTCGTGACAAACTCTCCTGTGTTGTTCGGTATAAGCAAAAAAAAAACGAAATTGGTGAGCAAAGATATTGCGTTTTTAAGGTGTTGTGAGACAATAAGCAATCTTATCTCAATGGCACCTGGCATGGGTGCAGCAGCGGCAGACGATATCACTCCCATCTTAGTTTACGTCATTATTCAGGTGATTTTGTTGTCTGTCCCTGGGATCGTGTTACCCTTTGTTGTTCAGGCAAATCCTCCCTCGTTATTGTCGAATGTGCAGTATATTCAAGGTTTTGGTGGTTCACTTCTTGAAGGAGCAGAAGGGTATTGGTGGACTCAGTTTACAGCTGCCATCGAATTTGTCAAAACACTCCTTTGATGTCTTGCTGTGCCAAATCTACTTATCTTTGTAAGCATAGGTTGCTAAAAATACAAATGAGATAGCTATATCATTAGAAGATCATCATTATAAAATATGCAGATAATGAAAACGTGTGTCGTGTGAACAGACGCTTTGTATGGTTATGGGTTTGATACGCTTTTGGGAATAGTTCATACTCAGGAAGGCTAACAGCTCAACTAACTACCACTACTTACTTATCTGATAAGTAGCGGTAGTTAGTTGAGTTTCAATTTTTTTTTTCGATCGGAATATCAACCTTCTCCTATCAGTGCACAATCTGAAATCTTGCCCAAACGCAGTGCGCGGGCAAGTGGACTCAAAATTTTCTGTCTTTTGGGCCTTTCTCTCACGATGTACCCGAATTAGGGTAGAGGAACGAACGCTTCCATTAGGCGCCGCCTCCATATGGTGATCCTAACACTGCCTGAACATGTGCGAAAGATCAGTGGTCGAGGAGGCGGCGCCAATTGAGGTGTGTGCTCCTCTAGTCCCCAAATCACGACCTTGAAGCGCATCGAAACATGGTTGCACCGAAAGAAATAGTGTGGAGATTGCGAAGATGCCTGCTGATCGCCAGGGCAGTTCAGTATGGAATCATAACTTGTTATTGAGTTCCGGGAGAGTACTTGGGGTCGGAGGAGCTCTTTCGACGCGAGTTTTTCTGACTCATATTATGGTTTTGCGTTTGGCTTCAGGGGGAGGGGGCTGCTAACGTATAGTCTGGGCAAAGTGGGAGTTTTGGGACCTCAGTTTTGTAGTAAAGTGAACACCCTCGGCCATACCTTCGCCAAGTGCGAAGCCGTAGCGTTAGACCAGATTTGGTAAAGAAATGGGATAATCTCACCCACCCGTGGTTTGCCTCCTCCAGGTAGGGTGCGCATCAAATTGAAACTGGTCCTAAAGCGTCACTTCAGTTCAGCCTTGGTGGGAATCGTCCCGCTTGATTAGATTAACGCTTAAGGTGTTTCAGCGCCATCATCATCATTTCCTCTGAGCATCTGAATGCACATTCAGTTAAGAACTTAGAGTCACAACGACTGTGTCGTTAATAGTGACGAGACCTCCAGTTCGATTTGGGGTCTTGTACAAAGTCTGGCGCTTTCTGAAATGCATTTTGGACTAACTCAACAGAAAAGCTGATTGGCAAGATTGCGATCGGGTCGAGTGGAGGACATCATGTCATTGCAAGCGGAGATCCCGCTGAGACATCTTCAACGAAACGCATCTTTACACTGGAGAAGCTTGTCCCGGATGTCCGGAGAAATGAAGTACTGGTGATGTATTTTACGCAATCGAGTCTGAGCAGGATACCTACCATGTTGGTGTAATGTCGATGTCTGCATCATTTTCGATCCATCAAAGAATATATGGCTTCCATAAGGACGACTATATGCGCAGCACTGACAACCGCCAGCACTACAGCATACTTTTTTGCAGCTGTCGTTTATCTTGGCATACGCCCGGGCCGTACTAACCGGCCAGCAGAGCGCTTGCGCGAGGTGCGTGATCTCGTGCGTGTAGTTCACAAAGGAATAACAACTGATCTTACATGGGTCGGATACTTAGTCAAAGTGGGGGTTTTTGAGTTGTCTTTTATCTAAGAAGCATGGAATGCTAATTTTAAAACTATCTATCTGGAAAGCGCTTTCGGAAGAGGATTGGAATTTTTTTGAAGCAAAAATTTAAACACACGGCTACAATCAAGTCATTCAGACCTGAAGTCTGTGAGATCACATGGGGCCACGATTACTTCCAGGGTGCTTTATGAGGTTAATACCTTCAGGCTTGAACACTTATGCTAGTCGTTACTCCTCTCAAGCTCCGAAAAGACCTCAACATCTTTTGCACACTCCCATCCCCCTCCTAGAGGCGCTTTTCAGATACCGAAGACAGATTCGGAATAAGCGTTCTTGCGCTATAAGACAGTATATAATATACATGGAAACTTCACTTCGACCAAGTATTTTTCCCTTGTTAGTTTCACAAAGCACCTCTTTTATCTAAGAACTATACCTTTTTCTTAAAACATGAAGGTCTTGCTTGTAATTTAGCTACTTACGCTTACAACTCATGTTGAACAGATTGCATAGCTAAGTTTTGTGATAATGCGTTTTGTGGTATAGTAATGAAGTCTAGTCCTATACTGATTCAAAATAAACGATCTTTGCATATTCATTCACGTGTAGTTCTTTTAATTTCTCACATTCGTTTCTAGCTCAAAGGCATTATGCACCAAACTGAGGGCGATGAACTTTTTGTTAGAGGGTTCAAGTGATCTCCTCAAGTAGCCGGTTTGTAAAAAATATCTGACGTGCGTCATGAAAGACAGACTTTCGAGATTCACTTTGACGCCCAATCTGGAGATTGTCCTTCTGACCACCAACATTGATGGGTGGAGCGGACGTGTCCACGGGCACATTCTGAAGCAACGTCGCTTCGGAATTCACCTTTTGCAGCGAGGCTTGAGCAGTTGATCAATGAGCGGCCTTGCTCCTCCACAGTTTTGGTGGACTATATGCCCCTTCTATAGTCTCGTACTGAATGTTCAATGTATTTCTCATTCGACTATGGTTATTTGCCCATACGGACATAGATTTTAGAATGGGCTTACAGATCGAGTATCAAAACCCTATACAGAAAGTCCGAAAGACAGTTGAAATGAAATGGGTCAAGTCCAGACTCGGCACGAGGTGGCTTTCCGAACATGCAAAAAGCGAAGTTCCCCTCGACTTTCGCAAAATTTTACGAAGTCTCCTTTGACGCTTATCTACCCGAATCGGCTAAAAAGATGAAAGGCCGACTAAAAAAATGAACAAACCTTACTCTCAGACCCACAAAAACGGTATCCCCTTTGCTTTTCGACCCAAAATGCTATCCGCTTGCTTATAAGCCACTTGTGCCGAGCTCTGTCATGTTTGAAGCTAGGAATTGTGATACACTGAATGAAGTGAAAAAACTAGGACTCCAATGAGTTGTTTTGGCAGAACTCATCTGAGGTCACTTTGCTATGATATTTGTGGCATGCACTTGCAGGTGCCATGATGTTTTGCAAATTGCTTCAGACGTTTATTCGAATAGTATGTTAACGATTACAACAATAAAAATGGTCAGCACTAGATGGTGGTTTTGAGATATGTTCGCTTGCGGAATAAGGCCTCCAATTCCTCAAACTGAAACGAAATAAATTTAGGTCCACTACTCCGTACAAACTATGACCAATATGTTTATTTCACGCAGATTGCAAAAAAGGATAAATGTGAGCCTTCATAATGACTGTTAAACTATCTGCCCAGCTTATCAGCCGCAGCTTACCAAACTGATAAAGGGTGATCTTCTCATAGAAAGTAAATACGAGACGCAAGGTATAAATGGGTGAGTGAACTTGGGAACCTGAGTCCAGTTAGCCCGACTCGGGGGGTGCCTGCAGGATACACTCATGCTCGCTATCTCCTAGGACATGGCGACAATCTAAGCCCCGCTTCTAAGAGTCTGTTTTGGAACCTGGCCAAGGAATGCTGAAAATCCCAATTGGACTTCAGGAAACTGGCTCTTAGTCAAAAACCTTCGGAATGATCATACGAAGGTGAAATTAGGTTCAAACGAAAGAGAAAAACCGTGTCGTCATCATAACACATCTACTGACTGAAACTGATGGAACACAACATTTGAGTGTCAAAGTCAGAGAAAACGCTGGGAGGATCGTCTGTCGTTGACAGACCATCCTTGATCAGCAATATCAATATCAATGAAGTTTTTGAACTGTCATTCCTTGAATGATTTTCTAGTCTTTTGCCCAAACTTCAGCATACAAATGAACTATTATTTCTGATAAGTTTCTAAACTGTCATATCTTCAATTATGGTCTTTCTACCGAGGTACCCTATATGGCCCTCCCCAACAAAGGCAGGGACCGTAATCAGGCCGTTCGTGCTGGGACCCGAGCGCGCTTTTCTCACTGTCCTTTGAACTTTCGTTTCCCATCTCTATGATTCAGGTGCGGTGGTCAAGATTCTTTACGTCCTGATATCATACACCTGCATTTTTCTAGTTCTGAAATAAGGGCTTATAATTAGGAGCTCACTAGTGCCATACTCAACAGCTGAATTTTCACTAGTCCGAAGTCTGCTTTTGTGATTTCTATCGCCTGGTAGTGTGACAAGTCGGTTGAAGCAATCGTGACTGTTTCTTGAAAGAAGTAGTTTTCAAAGGAGAAGTTAGAACGAAATCAATCGCTGTTCAAAGTCTAGCTTGAGTGCGCCTTGGTGTGGCACCGTTACGATCACACTTTTCCATTCTCGCTATGCTTGTGGAGGGGAAAGTTTTGGCCAAATGCAGCACTTCAAAGTGATCTCCCTTACGTTAGAATTGAGCGCATACTACGAAATATGAACCAGACGAACCAGTCATAGTCTATACAGCATATGGTCACTACTAAACAAGATAATTATCATGACGCCCGCTTTGTGTGCATTATGCGTTTTGCTACAGGTTACCATTGTCCACTTCCTATTACAAAAAATGCGCCTTCGTTATCAAATGTTCAGTCTGACTTAGACTGCCTCCTTGTATGCAATAGTATCTTCTCACAATTTATTAATCAACATCTTTTCGATGTGATATTCTTATAATTGAGCGAGTAAGAAATGAAGTCCTAGATAGAACTGTAAGGAAAGAACGTGTGCATGAGTCTAGTTTCAGACCATGAGAGCGCACGGAAGCCTGAGGCTGCGGCTATCATAGCGGATCCTCCGGTGTTTAGGCAAGCCGGGCTGCTTACTTCCTTAGTGATATCAAGAAATCTTGCTCGTGGCCAAGAAAATCGAGTCTAATCTGAAAGCTCCTAGCATGCCACAGCGCTTCTGAGTATGGTAGGGCTGGATTTACAACCTCCCGGCTGCAAATAAATCATATGAGCTAAGTCTGAGAATTGAACTAAGGGGCTGAGGATACTTCCGCGGATGAACAGTAAGGCAAACAAACCTTGAAAAGGATACAGCTTTTGTTTGAGAGTCATAACAACTACAGATAAATTAGGAAAGATTCTATTTCCTCAGAAATCAATCTGACTTGTCTGCATATATCCGCCGATAGCGTTTTTGCTCCATAACTACAACAAGCTAAGTGAAGCACCGATACATACTACAGATAAATTAGGAAAGATTGATATCATTGATAATCTGTGCGAAA